TGTATTTCCTGAGTTATAGCCGTTTTAGTGACGTGGCCTCGGTTCGGGTCCGACCGAGTCTCAAAACTTTGAACGCGTTTTTCTCGGAACTACTTTTTTCGAGCTGGCGGTAAGGATATCTCGAGTTCTAATGAACCAGATTTACTTCAAATCTGGAGAGGATCTTCTCTATGCATCGCTTTATCGCATAGACCTTTCCCAAAACTATAACTTTTCATTTAGTATTTTTAAAAAAATCGGAATTGTTAAAAAAAAAACATGAAAAAAAATTTTTTTTTTCAAACTGCCGCACTTGAGCACTTAAATACAAAGCACATAAATGCTCAAGTTCGTTCGTGTTCAATTATTTGTAATAAATCCACTCGGAATTTAACACTTTTAATCACTCATAAATTAATTTATATTTTATTGATTAAGTCGATTATTTAAACATATAGGGAAGTTCATGTAGCTTGCCTCGATGCAAAATACCAAACCAACTAGTTGAAATCGGTTCAGCTTCACATACTCATTCCCAAACGATTCAGATTGACTTGTCGCATGCATTGACTTGTTATCTATTTTATTTAAAACTATTTTCAGATGATCGTCGGCAATTGGATATGCCTGTACCTCCGAGACAGGTACAAGGCGTTGGCGGCCCTGGTATTACTTTTAGTAAACGCCAGCGGCTACAACGGCGTACAAGTGACCGCCCAAATGATGCAAACCTTTGAGCATTTTGCACTGGCAAATTACATAGAAGGAGGTTTTGTAGAGGTATAATAGATAATGCAATATATCACAATGTACTATCGAAGTGAAACTTCTTAGGCGACTTTGAACAAGGTTGCTTTCAATGCGTTCAATGGGTTCAATGCAAAGTGAGCTAATAATAATGATTGTTTTAGAATGCCATAGATTAGGAATGTTGAAGATTGTTTCAGATTTTTTTAGAATGTAAAATGTTTTTCGAATGTTATGGATTATTTCATAATTTTTAGAATATTTATTAGAACATTGTAGACTATCTGAAAGTGTTGCATACTCTTTGAAGGTCTTGCAGACTGCCCAAAAGCATTGCAATCTCATTTTCACATTACGAAGTTTCACTTCTTTTGCAGAGTATCACTTCTATTATTTTTATTGTTTTTTTTTTTTTGTAGGAAGATGAAGGATTTTCTTCTCTACTCTCCAAAAATAAAAAACTTACTGTTGATTTTTGCCAATTCTTCAAAAGTATGATAAAGACGGGTGGAGAAATGATTTATGATGGTTTTTTTTTTATAAAAAATCTGACCTCAATCTTAAAACATTTGTCTAGATTGGGTCAGAAAAATATAAGATATACAACGACATTGGCAGGTAAATTGTATTCGTGAGAATGATTTTTATACGTAGATTCTCCTATGGGTTTTTAGATATTTTTAGACATCTATATATTTTACACATTTCTAGACAATTTCAAAAATATGTAGCCATTTGTAGATATTTTTTTTTAATTTTTGTACATTTTTAACCCTTGCCAGTAGGCGACATATACATTTATGTATATATATCTAGACATTTTTGTACATATTAAAAATTTTTAAGTTACATTTAACCCTCCGTCGGTCGGATATTTTTTCACCTTCGAACGGTCGGAAAGGTCTGGCTGGACCACCATTTATTTTACATACATTTATTGGGATAAATGAGTTTTTGGTGTCTTATATATTAACGATTATTAGTAGTAAATATTTATAGTTTAGATTTTTTCTTTTTACGGTAAGTCTTTTGCATGTGTTGAGCTTGCTTATAATAAAAATATTACATATTATATTATATAAAAAAATCAAGAAATATAAAAAAATCGTTGCTTTTTTTTGTTAATTTTTCTGTTTTATATCAATGAAAAACAATATTTATTCTTTTTCTGCGCCTTTGAAATGAATGTGAAATTCAAAAGAAAACGAAATGAGGTGCGTCGTCTTTGAAATGAGCTGTAAAACTCGAAGTGAAAATATAATTTCACTACAGGTTTGGCAAAAAAAAAAAAATTTCGAACGCAGTACGGGTAGAAAAATTGTTGATAATGTGTGCATTACTCATCCGATTTTCAGTGTTTGCGATTACCAATAAGTTTGGTAGGTTTTCAAGGAACTCTCATCATGAAAATACTAAACATTCATGTTACAACACATAGCAAAGAATATATACAACGCAGTTTGAATAGAAAATACCATGAAAAAAGACAAAATACTGGTTTACATATATCAAAAAGCGTATATTTCATACAAAATGTATGGGTGGTCTAGACAGACCTTTCCGACCGTTCGAAGTATAAAAAAGTTATTATCCTTATAATTATCCTTCTGTACAGTTTTTCGTCCTGATTTTTTTATTGATCGACAGCTAATGAAATTTTAGGAAAAGTCAAGAAATTTCGGTCGATACGATTACTAGAAGTATTTTTTTTTTTTTTTTGTTAATTGAAGTCGAAAAAAGTCTGGCCGGACCACGCCGACCGACGGAGGGTTAAACATCACTAGACATTAAAAATTAATACATTGGCAAAAGAGTTGAAAAAATATTTTAAAATTACCATTTGATTAACTGATTTTTTATCTCAAGAGTTGGCAGGATTACTGGAACAAGCGGCTTCAGACATGAATCGGTGGTCGGAGCTAATTCGGGCCGAAGAAGCGAAGGAGACGACGAGGCGTGATCTGAGCCGCTTGGCATTCCTTCAATCTGAAAAAAATAAATTAAATGAAAAGTATAGGGAACTTGGATTGTGCATCGACTCCCTATACAGACATTTAATTTATAAACGCATCAAGTAAGATATTTTGACATTTATGGGCCAATTCTCGGATAACACAAAGTTTTGTTTGTAGACTCCTGCTTTAACATATCATGTCTTAAATAAGCATATGTTCAGGATTATGTATTCTTGGAGCACGTCGTGTAGGAGGCACTCTTTTTTCGATTGAATTGAATGGGTCCTATTCAGTTTTTTCCTTTTCTTTTCATGATCGTTCTCAGTCGAGTCTTTTATGGACTTATTCTTTTGTTATCTTGTCAGTCCACTTTATTTTCTCCAATCACCTGTCTCCTGCGCACCACATTTTAAAACTCTCCAAATAGTAATAGTAAATAGTAATAGTAAAGAGCTATGCTCTAGACAAAACATTTTTTTTATCAATATCATCCACAAGTCGAGACTTGGTTGGTTCTCACTAGTGTTCTCAACTTCGCAAACTCCACCTTGGCGCTTGCGATCTTTATCCTGATCTTTCTCGTGCTGTATTCGTTTCTGGTCAGAATGCTTCCTAAATATTTGAAATGATCAACGTCTTCCAATTTTTGATTTTCTACTGTTATCTTCAGAGTATCATCTCGTTTTGATACTCTCATCACTTACAATTTGTTGATGTTGATTTCCGTTCCATATCTTCTACCCATTTCGACGATTCTGTCCACCATGTTTTGCAGCTCGGTTTGGTTTTTTGATATTACCACTAGATCAATCATTTTGCCATATAAAACAAAATGTCACCAGGAATAGCTGTTATACCTACCATAATTCCTTGAACCGCATAAGTTAAAGAATATTTTTTAAACATCAGTTTATTTACAGAGATATCGCACCTGTCACAAGATGTGTGAGCATACGAGAATTGGGCCGCTTATTAAGAAAATACCCGGGACTATTCTTGAATGAATCGACTTTGCGACTTTTTGCATTTTTCGTCTATGACAAGGTATATATATATATATATATAATAAATAAATGGTAGTCTTTCATCCATGCTTCCTGATCCTGCACTTCGGTTTTCAGTACCCTGTATTTTCTCTTTACCAATCCCTTCAGCCCTTCTATTTTACCATCCACGACGTCGTGCAGAAGGCACTCTTTAGAACAGAACGGGTCCAATCCAGTTTCCTTCCTTCTTCAGGATTCTTGAAAAGGCCGATCTTGAAATGTCAAGAGAACATAAAAATCTCCTCAGGCAGTTACTAATAATGATTTTTTCTATATCTTCACAGACTGCATCAGTACGGGCAAGCGTTTTGAAAGCCTTGCTCCCGTTATATGAGGACGTAAAATTATCCAGCAAATTAACATTGTTCAGTCACAAATACCAACAAAGAATTCTTAGATTATCTTGGGATAAGAGCGGATGCAATCAGGAGATTGCAATAAAGCTCGTCACAGCCATGTTCAGGTGAGAGTTGAGAATAAAAATGTTCACTTCAATAGACATATGCATAAAACTTTTAATGGTGATAACCCAGTAAACACCCAACGGTAGTAGCAATCTTATATTACAGCTGTTCAAAAAATAATAGTATATTGCCAGCGATAAAGTAAAAAAAATACAAGCTATAAATGAATGTATGTTAATTCTAATTGAAGAGTGAAGTTGCGAAAACAATATTTGTTTAGGCGTTGTTTGACATAATCCACTGCCTCAACAAATATTATAGAAGTTATTAATCTAATCTAATAATGAAAGTTCATTTCTAAATGATAATTACGGACAGATGATCATTTTCCAGAAATGATCTCAAGTTGCAATATTCGCAGCGAATCCGAATATGGTCGATAATTACAAGTACTGGACTCTACTTAATTGATATGCAGCTGCTCTCCTGGTCAATTAAAGAAACAAAACGCTCTTGGTCCCCAGACAATTTGATTTTTTTTGGGTTTTTGGACGGTGTATGAACTCATGACCAATGGAATAGTTTTGTGGGAATCAGTTTGTTGCTTTTAGTACTACACACATCTGTTTCCTTGATGTGATATTATAGCATGATAGTCGTCAAACGTTTAAGGCAATAATTTATAAGTTCAATTAGAAGTACAACATTAACTAAATCTAAACCGATCAAGTAAAAGTACCCTGCCCTGGTTTTAATGTCAGTACATGCAAATGGGTTAAACTATCCAGTTGTTTCTTCTTCTAGTGTGTTGATTATATGTTTAAACATTATTTTTTATTTCTAAATTTAATTACTTTTCATATTTACAGGTCCCAAGTATAAAACAAAAAAAAATGAAAAAAGACAAATCAAATATGACCAAATATCTAATGCCGGTGATGGCGACTCTGTTGGCTCGCTTTAAAAGCAATGTCAATTGTATTATCCATTTGATAAAAATTCCTCAATATTTTGACTTTGATAATACAATTGACATGGAAGATCTGGTTAGTATTTTAATTTTGTACCTATGAATACCTATAAGGATTACTTGTCTTTGTGCTTGAATTGCCACCAGCAGGAGTATATATTTTAAGCAGAAATTTTAATTGCATATGGGAATGTTGATGCATCTTGCATTTGTTGTAGTTTTTCTAACTTTTTAATATATACTTACTAGTTTTAATCTAGTGTTTTATGTTTACAGCATTTAAGGAATTTATTGGGCGCTCTGCAAGCCATCGCCCAGGATTCTGCAGACGCGACAGTGCTGGACAACTGCAGCAATACTTTGCATTGCCTTTCTAAAAGGGCAAGAAGTATTGCTGCAGATTGCGATGTCGCCATTAAGACCATCGTAGACAAATGCGCATTCGTATATATGGAGCCATATATTACATGGCTATGTATTGTGGATGGGGTACGAATTACATTTTTGTTATGTGTAGAAAGTTGTCAAACAATTCATCTCTTGATCAGAAATAATTTTTCTTTCTAGCAAATGGATCCAAAATGTGCCAAGAAAGAAGATTTTCCTGAGATTTTAAATTCCCTAAAAAAAATCTACATTTTCCAATATTTATATAATGTAAATTATTTAAATATATGGGAAGATTTTTTAGAGGAATTTAAAGTCTTCAGGAATGGCGTTATTGAAAGGAATCTCCCTATCGAAGTATGTTAATTAGATCAAAGATTAAACATAACTAATTTAACTAATTCATACTCCTATCAAAATATCTTTTAGGGATCGATATACTGCCTGCTTTCTTACGGCGCTTATTTATCTTGGGCATTGATCGAAGTGAAAAAAATGGATTTAAATAATATGGTCGTTAATGCTATCGCTTGTATGGAACAAGCCGATATGTTAAAGTTAAAATTAAAAAATTACATTGAAATTTGCAAAGACATTGTACAAAATGTCTCTCATAACGATCTCCAACAAGCTGTAAGTTGATTTGAAAAATTCAAAATTTTAAAGTAATACTAATTGTAAGGCGAATTTCAATATTGTTTTAAACTATACATGAACTACTTGCCTACCTTTCCACCTGTCTCCAACTTCTTCAACCTTCTACTTGTCAACAGTTTTACCTTGCTGCCTGTTTACTGTCCAACCTGTTAACCTGTTAACCTGTTAACCTGTCTACTTGTCCATCTGATTGCCTGTCTATGTATCCACCTGCTCACCTACAAGTCTACTTGAAAACCAATTTACCTCTATCAGTCTGTTCATCAATGGGAATCGAATGCTTTTTGAGTAATTCAAATCGAATAATCGGTGCTCCGGGGTTGTCCGCCAAAAATAGTATCCTTATTAAATTTTATTATCAATAAGGTTCATAAATAGTAGATTGGGCAATGATTTTTATTTTGTTCATAATTTTAACCATTTCTAGTAAAAATATTGATTGAAGTAACGCTTACTATGTCCAATCCAAGCCTAATCAAAAATGTATGGGAAAGCGTCATGTTAGGTTTGGACGACATGGCAAGCACTCGCGATTTTTGAACAATTACAACTTATTTTGGTTTTATCGAAGTTGCTGAAATATTTTTTGTACTTTTAATAAATTAATTTCTAACGTTTTAGGCCTTGTTTGCAATATGTACATTAGCCGCAAATTTCAATGTAGAACTGGCCGACCATAAGAACCCGATTCTACACGACTTGGTTTTAAAACTAAGCTCGGATGACGTTATGTTAATCAATAAGTATGCAGAAGAATATGTTTTCTTAAAACATTGGACAGGTAATAATTAGAATAAAATTAATTTAAATATTTCTTATTGAAGTGGAGCTTCTAATGCAAGTGCCAACAAGAAATGTTGAATAGAAAGAGACACAGAGCGAAAATTGTCTGAAGATGGTATAGATTATATAAAAATTTTGTAAATTGTCTGAAGATTTGTAATATATTTCTTTACTGGGAAAGTTTTTGAACATATTTTAATAGTTGGTTGTTTGATATCTGCTGTGATGCATGTTGATACACTTTTAAGCTTCAATTATAAATTGAAATGCCAAATGGAATTTTTCACTCGAAGATGCATCTAATACAACTCAACAATCACATTTATGTTTAGATTTTTGTTTATATGCATAACACAGTTTGTGTAAAAGAAAAGTTAATATGACTTTACTAGAAGACTTTTGTAATTATGTTATCGTTATTAATTATCTCATTGTAGAAAGGCACGAAGAAGATGAGAGCCCAAAGAAAAATTTTATTAGAAGATTTTGTAATTAATTATGTTATTATCTTATTGCAGGAACACACGAAGAAGATCAAGTCCAAATAAAGAAACGTCGTGAAGTCTTGGAGCGTTTTTGCAAACTTATTGAATTTGGTATCATACCAGTTACCAGCGCGTCCTTTGTTTTGATGTATTATGTGAAGGTAAGGTTATAACAGTTATTCATTGCATATTGAAACTTCTTTCTATTTCACTTTGTAATTTACTGACTAGCTAACATCCTAATAATTGCCCATCGAAGTCTCCAAAATCTTTCTGAAAGAAAGGCTTAAAAATTCAAAAGAAAACTATTAAGGTCCAAGAGAATAAAGATCTTGCCATGTGAAGTATTCTATAGCTTTGCTATTCCCAAACCTGAAGGATTACCTTAGAATCCATAATTTGCCCTCAAAAACACCTGCATTTGACTTGACCATGGATTTAGTAGCTTTATGAACAAAACAGTGGATGTATTACGAGGACCTAGGATAATTAGTTAAAACAATGTAATACTATTAAATAGTAGTTTGCCTGAAGGCAGGTCCATGGCGTGAGGGCACCACAAATCAATCATTCCCCTTTCCTTCTTTTTGTTTATTATTCACATCACCGCTTTATGCATTTTCCTTACCATACTTATTAGTATATTGTGTATAAGTGTTGTGTGTAAGAAAATAGATCAATTTAATTCAACACTATTGTATTTTGCAGTGTGAAAAATGCTATGGAGATATCATAAAGAAAATGGTCGCCACGATGTGCAGCCTCAGCAGGACAAATTGCACCACGGTCATGTTCCTGACTTTGAAGGAAAATTATTTGCAGGTGGAAAGTTCATGTGCTGGCGATGTGGTTAATAAAACTATCGAAGGATTTGTGCAGCTAAAGGTATTTATTCTGTGTAATGTGTGTAATTTATGAAACGAACTAGTGGTGCATGGCATCGTGCCTTTAGGCAAATTGCTCGAACTTTCCGTACCGTAATGAAATATTCGAGAAATTTTAAACGTTTTCAAATATTTAATTATTACAAATACTGTAACTTTCATTATTTTTGCTATCTTGTTATATCTGAGCAGATCAAATGTAAATCATAAATCAATTTATCTCCAGAACATTAACAATCGTCATTTCATTTCGAATTCAATTTCAAAAAAATTGTTGCCTAATTGGCACAAAATTGAAAAAGTGCTCCCGTATAGTCACATTCTTCTGTGCATTTGCAAATAATTCTGTGCGACATTTTCACTTATACTGTGCTTAGTTTGGCGGCATTTTCACATTTTTCAATAGGTTTCGTTTTCACAACATTGGAAATGTGCTCCAATACATAAACAGTCTAAACGCACTTGTGTAAACATTTGTACCAGAGTGGCGCTTAGACTGTGCTTAGACTGGGTCATTTTTTCAATTTTTATAATCCAAAATTACAAAAATATTTTATGAAAAATAAAAAAGATGTAATATTTGTTTATCTCCAAAAGCAATTGTTTTGTCAATACAAGCAGAAAGTTTTTTATATCATTCAAATCGGACGCTTCTTAGTTCACTCAAAAAATGCTATTTTTTGCACGTTTAGCTTTGTATCTCCGAAATGGCGGGACCTGTCTTTGCCAAAAACGAATCACCTCTTTTCCCAATCATTACAAATTGAATGTTTTTTAGATCATTCAAATCGGATACTCCGTTCTCTCAAAAACTCGATTTCTATTTTCTGCACTCTTTGCTCCGTATCTCCGTAACGGCTGGACCTGCCTTTGCCAAAAACTAATCAGCACATCTCCCTATTAATAGGGATCGAATGTTTTTAAACCATTCAAATCGGTTGATCCGTGCGCCCGAAAACGTGGACGAAATAATGCGGACATATAAAACACACACACACCTACACACACATCAAAATTTTCTGAGAAATGCCAAAATGTTCAGAAACCTTCAAAACCTCTAAAAATGCAAAAAAATTATTTTCGATTTTTCAGAATTGAAGAACTTGATTTATATTCATATTTACTAATCTCTGGAAACATTTTTTTTTAATATTTATCTATGGTAACTCCAAACGTTCAACTTCTGGAGGTCCAATTAGAAGTATAATTTATTGTTTACTCCAATTCACTTTTTTTTTTTTTAACTTCCCGTAGGGCAAGTTATAGTAATCGCAAAAAAATCTAAAATGAACATTTTTATATTCTTTACGTTGCAAAACCTTCTGAACATTTTGGCATACCTTAAAAAAAATTAATGTATGTGTGTGTATGTATGTGTGTGTGTGCGTGTGTGCGTGTATGCGGATACAAATTTTCGTCGACGATTTCGGGAACACGGATGAAGCGATTTGAATAATTGAAAAAACATTCGATTCGTATTGATAAGGAGACGTGCGGATTAGTTTTTGGCGAAGGCAGGTCTAGCCGTTCCGAAAATATAGGGCAAAATGTTCCAAAAATGGTAACTCAGTTTTTAAGAGAACGGAGCGTCCAATGTTAACAATTCAAAAAACGTCTTACTTGTATTGATAAGATGAAGAACTGCAAGAATTTTCATGAAGGCAGGTCAAGCGGTTTCGGAGATCTAATGAAAAAAGTAAAAAAATGCCATTTGGCGGTCAAAAATGATCATGAGACATATGCACATCAAATTATCAGATATTTTATATAGATTTTAACAATAAGTTTAAATTTTGTTTGCATTCCTATGGGTTCCGTATCAATGTTTATCCGTTAGACGGCGGCGCGACGCTTACGCGCTTCGATATTTCGTATCTATGCAATTAAAGCAGTACGATTGCTTTGAAAAAAAGTTCAAAACTTCCAAAATATGTCAAAATAAAGAAAACATTTTTTTTTCAAAAAACAATTTTTTTAAAAAAAGTAATTCTCTGTCAAATTTATAGTTTCTCAAAAATCTAATTTTTTCGAAGTAATGTTTTTTTCAAAAATGTTAATCGTTTTTTAAATAAAAATAATTTTTAGTACGGGAAGTTCCAGCAATTTGCCTTAATGCACGATGCCATGCGCCCCACTTGTTGGTTTTTGTATTCGTAAATAGTACTTTGCCAATTTTTACCACCTTTCGCAAAACCTCACAGGTTGGAACCGACGTATTGATTTTATTTTATTCTTTTTGAAGTAAAACTTCTTTAGGCGCGACTAGGGTATAAATCCGTCGTTGTATGCGTACCGATATCAACAAGGAAATCGACATAGATAAATAAACATTTTAAAGTTACATCGTAGCACAAATCTTGATTTAATGAAAAATGCCAGTATCGGAAGAATATTTTACCTTGTTTTTTGAAAATATTAAAACAAATTATACATTTGTTTCTTGATAAGAAATTATTTCTATATTATTCGTAGTTTCTATAAATCTTTGTAGTTATTAAAATGGAAAATATTTTTAGGCAAGGCAGATATTACAACTGTTCAAAGAATAATAGTATATCGCCAGCAAAAAAGTAAAAAAATACAAGCCGTAAATGATTGTATGTTGATTTTAATTACATGAAGTTCTTCAAACACAATTATTAAATGATGAGTGAGTGAAGTTGCAAAAACAATATTTGTTTAGGCGTTGTTTAACAGAATCCACTGTGTGGACGATAATATCATAGAATTTATTAATCAGCAATTACTTCATTTCTCTAATGAAGAACCGACAAACCGATCATGTCATATTTGAAGTATGACTTGAATTACATTATCGTTTTCAAATATTATACATATTTTTAATGCCATTATAGATATATAGATGTATAATGGCCGACACTAATAAATGTGTGCATCACTAGTGTTACCATATTACTGATAAACATTATTCAAAATTGTTATACGATGTATTTATTTTTGCTTAAATGCCATCTTGTACAATAGCAAATAAGTTTTACTTCACTTTTTTTATTTCATTTTTTTATTTCACTCAGACTTTGGCCGCACATCTAGCCAAGTTCTTGGGCACAAACAAACTGAAAAATCGACAAGCAGTAGCAAAGCTGCACGAGGCTGGGATTCTGTTTGCGGTTGAACAAAGTGGTAGCCCGAATGTGCCTCCACATCGCTTACCGTTTTTAGAAATATTAACCAAGTTTTCAGCAAAGCTTGAAGAAGAGGATAGATCTTCTGTGTGAGTAATAAATATTTACTGTAATACCTGGGTAAAATGTACATTTTAATAAGTGTGATCTCTGTATAGAAGAGGAGATCCCTTACATTTTTCGTTTTGTCTTAAGGGGGTATTCTACTGTAGAATTTTGAAAAAATCGATTTTTTTTTTCATATTTTCAAAGTTGAGTTATTCAAAAATATGTCATTAAAAGGATTTTTCAAAATTACTATTACAGTAGAACTTCAATTATCCGAATTAATGGGGACCGGGCCCATTCGGATAATCAAATATTCGGATAATCGGAGTTTTTTTTAAATTGCCATTGGAGAGAAAAAAAGTAACGTTTTGATATTGCACTATTTTTATTGAATTAAATGAAAGAAACATGACATTTTCACATGTTTTAAATATAAATAAAAGTACTTAAACGAGTTAAAAAAAAAATGTACAAGTTTAGAAATAAAAATCATTGTTTTGTAAACATCTCCGTCAAATCAAAAATTTCAAATCAATGTGCCTACACTGGCGATAGCGGCATCTGTAATAATTAATAATCCATCTATTTTTTATGTTTCGGATCACCAGGAGGATTGGAATCATGCACGCCAGGACACCCTCTTTTTTTTGAGCCCCCACTTCGACTGCTCATAACTTTGTGAATTCTATTTTTTTTCTTTAATAATTTTTTTTTATGTAATAATAAAATATCAATAAACAAATGATAAAAAAATCGATAGTAAAATATTGATTCCTTTATACAGCGCTTCAAAAACCGGGCAAAATTCATGCTTCTACAGTAGAATCAGGACCGGATTTAGAAATTTGGCGCCCTGGGGCGCTGACAAAAATGCCGCCCCATCCCTAAATTTTTATTTAAAATAGTTTATATATCATTTTTCTAAAATTAAAATAACTATTTGATTGCAGAAAATTTATTACGCATTACATAGTGTTCATAGTCGTGCTTGGCATAAATTGCTGAAACTTCCCGTACCAAGAATTAAAAAATTAAAAAAAAAAAAATTTAAAGCGATCGGCCTGCTTTAGCTGCGTAAAGAAGCAGAATGACAGATAAATAATTTTACAGAACCCATAAAATGTAAACAAAATTTATATTATTAAAATATCTGATAATTTGATGTGCATATGGCTAATGATCATTCTTGACCGCCAAATGTTTCTCTTTCAAATTTTTTATTGGATCACTGAAACCGCTAGACCTGCCTCCCACAAATTTAATCAGTTCTCCATTTTGTCTATATATGTAAATTTTTTTAATGATATTGGACGTTTAGTTTCTCAAAAAAGAATTATTTTTTTGGCATTTTGGCCCGTACTTCCGAAACAGTTCCGAAAACAACCCGTCTTGGCCAATAACTAATCACTACCACCAATCATTGTAATAAATCCACTCGGAATTTAACACTTTTAATCACTCATAAATTAATTTATATTTTATTGATTAAGTCGATTATTTAAACATATAGGGAAGTTCATGTAGCTTGCCTCGATGCAAAATACCAAACCAACTAGTTGAAATCGGTTCAGCTTCACATACTCATTCCCAAACTTGTTCTCAAACGATTCAGATTGACTTGTCGCATGCATTGACTTGTTATCTATTTTATTTAAAAACTTTTTCAGATGATCGTCGGCAATTGGATTGCCTGTACCTCCGAGACAGGTACAAGGCGTTGGCGGCCCTGGTATTACTTTTAGTAAACGCCAGCGGCTACAACGGCGTACAAGTGACCGCCCAAATGATGCAAACTTTGAGCATTTTGCACTGGCAAATTACATAGAAGGAGGTTTTGTAGAGGTATAATAGATAATGCAATATATCACAATGTACTATCGAAGTGAAACTTCTTAGGCGACTTTGAACAAGGTTGCTTTCAATGCGTTCAATGGGTTCAATGCAAAGTGAGCTAATAATAATGATTGTTTTAGAATGCCATAGATTAGGAATGTTGAAGATTGTTTCAGATTTTTTTAGAATGTAAAATGTTTTTCGAATGTTATGGATTATTTCATAATTTTTAGAATATTTATTAGAACATTGTAGACTATCTGAAAGTGTTGCATACTCTTTGAAGGTCTTGCAGACTGCCCAAAAGCATTGCAATCTCATTTTCACATTACGAAGTTTCACTTCTTTTGCAGAGTATCACTTCTATTATTTTTATTGTTTTTTTTTTTAGGAAGATGAAGGATTTCTTCTCTACTCTCCAAAAATAAAAAACTTACTGTTGATTTTTGCCAATTCTTCAAAGTATGATAAAGACGGGTGGAGAAATGATTTATGATGTTTTTTTTTGAAAAATCTGACCTCAATCTTAAAACATTTGTCTAGATTGGGTCAGAAAAATATAAGATATACAACGACATTGGCAGGTAAATTGTATTCGTGAGAATGATTTTTATACGTAGATTCTCCTATGGGTTTTTAGATATTTTTAGCATCTATATATTTTACACATTTCTAGACAATTTCAAAAATATGTAGCCATTTGTAGATATTTTTTTAAATTTTTGTACATTTTTAACCCTTGCCAGTAGGCGACATATACATTTATGTATATATATCTAGACATTTTTGTACATATTAAAAATTTTTAAGTTACATTTAACCCTCCGTCGGTCGGATATTTTTTCACCTTCGAACGGTCGGAAAGGTCTGGCTGGACCACCATTCATTTTACATACATTTATATGGGATAAATGAGTTTTTGGTGTCTTATATATTAACGATTATTAGTAGTAAATATTTATAGTTTAGATTTTTTCTTTTTACGGTAAGTCTTTTGCATGTGTTGAGCTTGCTTATAATAAAAATATTACATATTATATTATATAAAAAAATCAAGAAATATAAAAAAATCGTTGCTTTTTTTTGTTAATTTTTCTGTTTTATATCAATGAAAAACAATATTTATTCTTTTTCTGCGCCTTTGAAATGAATGTGAAATTCAAAAGAAAACGAAATGAGGTGCGTCGTCTTTGAAATGAGCTGTAAAACTCGAAGTGAAAATATAATTTCACTACAGGTTTGGCAAAAAAAAAAAAAATTTCGAACGCAGTACGGGTAGAAAAATTGTTGATAATGTGTGCATTACTCATCCGATTTTCAGTGTTTGCGATTACCAATAAGTTTGGTAGGTTTTCAAGGAACTCTCATCATGAAAATACTAAACATTCATGTTACAACACATAGCAAAGAATATATACAACGCAGTTTGAATAGAAAATACCATGAAAAAAGACAAAATACTGGTTTACATATATCAAAAAGCGTATATTTCATACAAAATGTATGGGTGGTCTAGACAGACCTTTCCGACCGTTCGAAGTATAAAAAAGTTATTATCCTTATAATTATCCTTCTGTACAGTTTTTCGTCCTGATTTTTTATTGATCGACAGCTAATGAAATTTTAGGAAAAGTCAAGAAATTTCGGTCGATACGATTACTAGAAGTATTTTTTTTTTTTTTTGTTAATTGAAGTCGAAAAAAGTCTGGCCGGACCACGCCGACCGACGGAGGGTTAAACATCACTAGACATTAAAAATTAATACATTGGCAAAAGAGTTGAAAAAATATTTTAAAATTACCATTTGATTAACTGATTTTTTATCTCAAGAGTTGGCAGGATTACTGGAACAAGCGGCTTCAGACATGAATCGGTGGTCGGAGCTAATTCGGGCCGAAGAAGCGAAGGAGACGACGAGGCGTGATCTGAGCCGCTTGGCATTCCTTCAATCTGAAAAAAATAAATTAAATGAAAAGTATAGGGAACTTGGATTGTGCATCGACTCCCTATACAGACATTTAATTTATAAACGCATCAAGTAAGATATTTTGACATTTATGGGCCAATTCTCGGATAACACAAAGTTTTGTTTGTAGACTCCTGCTTTAACATATCATGTCTTAAATAAGCATATGTTCAGGATTATGTATTCTTGGAGCACGTCGTGTAGGAGGCACTCTTTTTTCGATTGAATTGAATGGGTCCTATTCAGTTTTTTCCTTTTCTTTTCATGATCGTTCTCAGTCGAGTCTTTTATGGACTTATTCTTTTGTTATCTTGTCAGTCCACTTTATTTTCTCCAATCACCTGTCTCCTGCGCACCACATTTTAAAACTCTCCAAATAGTAATAGTAAATAGTAATAGTAAAGAGCTATGCTCTAGACAAAACATTTTTTTTTATCAATATCATCCACAAGTCGAGACTTGGTTGGTTCTCACTAGTGTTCTCAACTTCGCAAACTCCACCTTGGCGCTTGCGATCTTTATCCTGATCTTTCTCGTGCTGTATTCGTTTCTGGTCAGAATGCTTCCTAAATATTTGAAATGATCAACGTCTTCCAATTTTTGATTTTCTACTGTTATCTTCAGAGTATCATCTCGTTTTGATACTCTCATCACTTACAATTTGTTGATGTTGATTTCCGTTCCATATCTTCTACCCATTTCGACGATTCTGTCCACCATGTTTTGCAGCTCGGTTTGGTTTTTTGATATTACCACTAGATCAATCATTTTGCCATATAAAACAAAATGTCACCAGGAATAGCTGTTATACCTACCATAATTCCTTGAACCGCATAAGTTAAAGAATATTTTTTAAACATCAGTTTATTTACAGAGATATCGCACCTGTCACAAGATGTGTGAGCATACGAGAATTGGGCCGCTTATTAAGAAAATACCCGGGACTATTCTTGAATGAATCGACTTTGCGACTTTTTGCATTTTTCGTCTATGACAAGGTATATATATATATATATATATATATATATATATATATATAATAAATGGTAGTCTTTCATCCATGCTTCCTGATCCTGCACTTCGGTTTTCAGTACCCTGTATTTTCTCTTTACCAATCCCTTCAGCCCTTCTATTTTACCATCCACGACGTCGTGCAGAAGGCACTCTTTAGAACAGAACGGGTCCAATCCAGTTTCCTTCCTTCTTCAGGATTCTTGAAAAGGCCGATCTTGAAATGTCAAGAGAACATAAAAATCTCCTCAGGCAGTTACTAATAATGATTTTTTCTATATCTTCACAGACTGCATCAGTACGGGCAAGCGTTTTGAAAGCCTTGCTCCCGTTATATGAGGACGTAAAATTATCCAGCAAATTAACATTGTTCAGTCACAAATACCAACAAAGAATTCTTAGATTATCTTGGGATAAGAGCGGATGCAATCAGGAGATTGCAATAAAGCTCGTCACAGCCATGTTCAGGTGAGAGTTGAGAATAAAAATGTTCACTTCAATAGACATATGCATAAAACTTTTAATGGTGATAACCCAGTAAACACCCAACGGTAGTAGCAATCTTATATTACAGCTGTTCAAAAAATAATAGTATATTGCCAGCGATAAAGTAAAAAAAATACAAGCTATAAATGAATGTATGTTAATTCTAATTGAAGAGTGAAGTTGCGAAAACAATATTTGTTTAGGCGTTGTTTGACATAATCCACTGCCTCAACAAATATTATAGAAGTTATTAATCTAATCTAATAATGAAAGTTCATTTCTAAATGATAATTACGGACAGATGATCATTTTCCAGAAATGATCTCAAGTTGCAATATTCGCAGCGAATCCGAATATGGTCGATAATTACAAGTACTGGACTCTACTTAATTGATATGCAGCTGCTCTCCTGGTCAATTAAAGAAACAAAACGCTCTTGGTCCCCAGACAATTTGATTTTTTTTGGGTTTTTGGACGGTGTATGAACTCATGACCAATGGAATAGTTTTGTGGGAATCAGTTTGTTGCTTTTAGTACCTACTACACATCTGTTTCCTTGATGTGATATTATAGCATGATAGTCGTCAAACGTTTAAGGCAATAATTTATAAGTTCAATTAGAAGTACAACATTAACTAAATCTAAACCGATCAAGTAAAAGTACCCTGCCCTGGTTTTAATGTCAGTACATGCAAATGGGTTAAACTATCCAGTTGTTTCTTCTTCTAGTGTGTTGATTATATGTTTAAACATTATTTTTTATTTCTAAATTTAATTACTTTTCATATTTACAGGTCCCAAGTATAAAACAAAAAAAAATGAAAAAAGACAAATCAAATATGACCAAATATCTAATGCCGGTGATGGCGACTCTGTTGGCTCGCTTTAAAAGCAATGTCAATTGTATTATCCATTTGATAAAAATTCCTCAATATTTTGACTTTGATAATACAATTGACATGGAAGATCTGGTTAGTATTTTAATTTTTGTACCTATGAATACCTATAAGGATTACTTGTCTTTGTGCTTGAATTGCCACCAGCAGGAGTATATATTTTAAGCAGAAATTTTAATTGCATATGGGAATGTTGATGCATCTTGCATTTGTTGTAGTTTTTCTAACTTTTTAATATATACTTACTAGTTTTAATCTAGTGTTTTATGTTTACAGCATTTAAGGAATTTATTGGGCGCTCTGCAAGCCATCGCCCAGGATTCTGCAGACGCGACAGTGCTGGACAACTGCAGCAATACTTTGCATTGCCTTTCTAAAAGGGCAAGAAGTATTGCTGCAGATTGCGATGCCGCCATTAAGACCATCGTAGACAAATGCGCATTCGTATATATGGAGCCATATATTACATGGCTATGTATTGTGGATGGGGTACGAATTACATTTTTGTTATGTGTAGAAAGTTGTCAAACAATTCATCTCTTGATCAGAAATAATTTTTCTTTCTAGCAAATGGATCCAAAATGTGCCAAGAAAGAAGATTTTCCTGAGATTTTAAATTCCCTAAAAAAAATCTACATTTTCCAATATTTATATAATGTAAATTATTTAAATATATGGGAAGATTTTTTAGAGGAATTTAAAGTCTTCAGGAATGGCGTTATTGAAAGGAATCTCCCTATCGAAGTATGTTAATTAGATCAAAGATTAAACATAACTAATTTAACTAATTCATACTCCTATCAAAATATCTTTTAGGGATCGATATACTGCCTGCTTTCTTACGGCGCTTATTTATCTTGGGCATTGATCGAAGTGAAAAAAATGGATTTAAATAATATGGTCGTTAATGCTATCGCTTGTATGGAACAAGCCGATATGTTAAAGTTAAAATTAAAAAATTACATTGAAATTTGCAAAGACATTGTACAAAATGTCTCTCATAACGATCTCCAACAAGCTGTAAGTTGATTTGAAAAATTCAAAATTTTAAAGTAATACTAATTGTAAGGCGAATTTCAATATTGTTTTAAACTATACATGAACTACTTGCCTACCTTTCCACCTGTCTCCAACTTCTTCAACCTTTTTACCTTGCTGCCTGTTTACTGTCCAACCTGTTAACCTGTTAACCTGTTAACCTGTCTACTTGTCCATCTGATTGCCTGTCTATGTATCCACCTGCTCACCTACAAGTCTACTTGAAAACCAATTTACCTCTATCAGTCTGTTCATCAATGGGAATCGAATGCTTTTTGAGTAATTCAAATCGAATAATCGGTGCTCCGGGGTTGTCCGCCAAAAATAGTATCCTTATTAAATTTTATTATCAATAAGGTTCATAAATAGTAGATTGGGCAATGATTTTTATTTTGTTCATAATTTTAACCATTTCTAGTAAAAATATTGATTGAAGTAACGCTTACTATGTCCAATCCAAGCCTAATCAAAAATGTATGGGAAAGCGTCATGTTAGGTTTGGACGACATGGCAAGCACTCGCGATTTTTGAACAATTACAACTTATTTTGGTTTTATCGAAGTTGCTGAAATATTTTTTGTACTTTTAATAAATTAATTTCTAACGTTTTAGGCCTTGTTTGCAATATGTACATTAGCCGCAAATTTCAATGTAGAACTGGCCGACCATAAGAACCCGATTCTACACGACTTGGTTTTAAAACTAAGCTCGGATGACGTTATGTTAATCAATAAGTATGCAGAAGAATATGTTTTCTTAAAACATTGGACAGGTAATAATTAGAATAAAATTAATTTAAATATTTCTTATTGAAGTGGAGCTTCTAATGCAAGTGCCAACAAGAAATGTTGAATAGAAAGAGACACAGAGCGAAAATTGTCTGAAGATGGTATAGATTATATAAAAATTTTGTAAATTGTCTGAAGATTTGTAATATATTTCTTTACTGGGAAAGTTTTTGAACATATTTTAATAGTTGGTTGTTTGATATCTGCTGTGATGCATGTTGATACACTTTTAAGCTTCAATTATAAATTGAAATGCCAAATGGAATTTTTCACTCGAAGATGCATCTAATACAACTCAACAATCACATTTATGTTTAGATTTTTGTTTATATGCATAACACAGTTTGTGTAAAAGAAAAGTTAATATGACTTTACTAGAAGACTTTTGTAATTATGTTATCGTTATTAATTATCTCATTGTAGAAAGGCACGAAGAAGATGAGAGCCCAAAGAAAAATTTTATTAGAAGATTTTGTAATTAATTATGTTATTATCTTATTGCAGGAACACACGAAGAAGATCAAGTCCAAATAAAGAAACGTCGTGAAGTCTTGGAGCGTTTTTGCAAACTTATTGAATTTGGTATCATACCAGTTACCAGCGCGTCCTTTGTTTTGATGTATTATGTGAAGGTAAGGTTATAACAGTTATTCATTGCATATTGAAACTTCTTTCTATTTCACTTTGTAATTTACTGACTAGCTAACATCCTAATAATTGCCCATCGAAGTCTCCAAAATCTTTCTGAAAGAAAGGCTTAAAAATTCAAAAGAATACTATTAAGGTCCAAGAGAATAAAGATCTTGCCATGTGAAGTATTCTATAGCTTTGCTATTCCCAAACCTGAAGGATTACCTTAGAATCCATAATTTGCCCTCAAAAACACCTGCATTTGACTTGACCATGGATTTAGTAGCTTTATGAACAAAACAGTGGATGTATTACGAGGACCTAGGATAATAGTTAAAACAATGTAATACTATTAAATAGTAGTTTGCCTGAAGGCAGGTCCATGGCGTGAGGGCACCACAAATCAATCATTCCCCTTTCCTTCTTTTTGTTTATTATTCATATCACCGCTTTATGCATTTTCCTTACCATACTTATTAGTATATTGTGTATAAGTGTTGTGTGTAAGAAAATAGATCAATTTAATTCAACATTATTGTATTTTGCAGTGTGAAAAATGCTATGGAGATATCATAAAGAAAATGGTTGCCACGATGTGCAGCCTCAGCAGGACAAATTGCACCATGGTCATGTTCCTGAGTTTGGCGAAAATTTATGTGCAGGTGGAGAGTTCATGTGCTGGCGATGTGCTTAATAAAACTGTCGAAGGATTTGTGCAGCTAAAGGTATTTATTCTGTGTAATGTGTGTAATTTATAAAACGAACTAGTGGTGCATGGCATCGTGCCTTTAGGCAAATTGCAGGAACTTTCCGTACCGTAATGAAATATTCGAGAAATTTTAAACGCTTTCAAATATTTAATTATTACAAATACTGTAACTTTCATTATTTTTGCTATCTTGTTATACATGAGCAAATCTGAACATTAACGTATTTTTAAAGGCATAACCTATCGAATTATGAAAAAATTGAAAATTCAATTTTTTAAAAATTTCACACTAGGTGTGCCCCTTAAGAAAAATTGCTAAAAGTGTGCAAATAATTGACTTGGTCAATGAATATTGAGATGCAGCAACTTTCAAAATGGTGGCAATAAATCCATACCAGTTATTTTCGACAAATAATAGTTCAAATTTTAAATAAATCACGTGTATTTGCCATGTCGTCCTTACCTAACACAACGCTTTCTCATACATTTTTACTTATAATTAGGCTTGGATATGCACGGTGAGCATCACTAACTAGGCCCAAGTGATATTTTTCCTTAAGCGAGTTGTGAAAAGATAAAAATTGAATTCTTCTATTATATTATCATCATCGTCCATTCTGGTTTCAGATTCAAGTACTTACAATCAAGGAGTGGAGTACCTTCGAGAATACCCTCAGGAGCCATATGGGCTCCATATAGAGCTTATAGAAGGTCTCTTATCGGTTCAAAACCCGACATATACGGAGCAAAGGGCCAAGGGACCAAGCCAAAGGCCAAGACCTACAGGTATATGTTAACGTCAATATGTAAATTAATGTTTTGTATCATCTGCAATATATGTGGGTGGAATGATAAAGAATAGTAAGATTTTTCTTATTCTCGAAGATGCAGCTGGTGAAACCTTTCCTTTTCCTACAACATCCATACAGAGGTCCGGGCATTCTATGGAGCGACCGCATGGGGAAACAATTAGGAGATATCCAGGTATGTTTTAATATTAATTGAACATCAAAATGTTACGAAAACATTTCGATGGCTTTCTTACGCATCCTCGTAACTCGATTTTTGACGATTTTGAGTTTTAGTCGAAAAATCGCTGTGTGTGTGTGTGGATACAATTTTCTGTTCACATATTTGGGAGCACGGATCGATTTGATTTGAAATATTTAAAAAGCAATCGTTTAATATTGAGAAAACAGAGCATCCGATTTGAATTATTCAAAAACATTCAACATGTATTGATGATGCGGTGATTAGTTTTTGGAAAAGACAGGCCCAGTAGTTTCAAAGCTTCCGATTCGAATGATTCAAAAAACATTTTGCAATATGAAGAATCGATTAGTTTAGGAAAGCAAAAAATTTTTTGTCCATTTTTTTTTTAATTTACCATTTTTTCACTGTTTAAATATGAAAAATGATTCGAATTTTAATTTTAATGCTAGCTAAAATTCTAAAACTTTCTTAATAAATTTAACTTTGCAAATTAGATTATATAATTCTTAGAGATATGAGATATGTTCTTTTTTACTTCTATTCACTTTTTATATAAACATATATAAACGTCGTCGTCGAATTTATTCTTACATTTATAATACGAATAACGAATGTTACAGTATTTATAATAAGCTATTCGAAATCATTTATTATTCCTCGATTCGATTTAATTACGGAATGGGAAGTTTCGCCAATTCGCTTAAAGGCACGATGCCATGCACCTCTAATTATATTATTATTATGTTGAAAACAAATATCACAGCAAGCAACAAAAATTAAACAATTATCTGGTCTGATCCTGATCACATCTCTATCTCACTATCACCAACTTTATGTAGAACATGTTTCAGGTTGCGCATTCGAAAACCCAAACTTGGTTTAAATTGCTTACTTTCAGTATATTAGGGCAACTTTTATTCTCACTTTTCATACGGAATCCAATTCTGGGGTTTTTCATCCGAACTAATTAAAATATTTAAGCTTCAGAAAAGAGCTATTCGAATCATTTTTTCCTTGCTCATATTTAAAAAACACAATATTCTAACTGTCCCATGCATTTATCTGCTGGTAACATTATCTTTCATCAAAAACAATTGGAAACTTTTTGATATGGCTTCGTCTTCCTCAAACTACAACATTAGACACAAACTCTCAATGCAATCGACGGTTCAGGTATTCAGCTTATGAATAAACTTCTACTCAATATCCGAAACTTAGACAGCAAAAAATTTGATGCTCTCTTAGTTAAACTTTTTAAAGAATTAGCGTTTTATGACACACAATAACTATTTTCTTGCATAATCCTTATCATTTATCTATATAGTCTGACCATTTGATCGCCTGTACAACCATGTTTTTTTATTGCTATTTTATTAATTCAATTTTTACGGTTTTGAATGAGTATAACTTTCAACCTTGTGCAAGAATTTTGAGCTTGACTCCTGGTCAAATAGACTTTAATATGATGAACTTAATTATGAATCAGTTCTTTTTTTCAGAAGCGAAATTCGTGCAGCTATTATTATTATTAAAAAATTATTATCCTTTTAATATTAATTATTTTGACAATTAGCTTGACAAGAGTCTGAAATAATATCTATTATTATTAATTACGACTTGCTTATGATTAAATAAATAAATAAACTAATAGGGTGTATGGCATCGTGCTTTAAGGCAAATTGCTAGAATTTCCCGTACCGTAACGAAATGTTCGAGGAATATTGAATGTTTTCAAATAGATTATTATAAATATTGAAACATTGTCTAATATTTATAAGAATTTTATAAACTGAATTGCAAAGATGAAATTATTTGTTTAAAGTATATTAGAACTTTAGTCAGAATTAAAAATAAAATTTGAATTATTTTCCATATAGGGAAAAAATTTGAAACAATTTTTTTTTCCAAAATCAATTATTTTGTTAAGACAAGCAGAAAGTTCTTTGAATCATTTAAATCGGACGCTTAGTTCTCTCAAAAACTGCCATTTTGTACACATTTAGCTCCGTATCTTCGAAATGGCTGGACGTGCCTTTCCCAAGAACTAATTAGCACATCTCCCTATTAATAGGAATCGAATGTTTTTTGAACCATTCAAATCGGTTGATCCGTGCGCCCAAAAAAATGCGGACACACATGCACACACAACACACAAAACACACGCATCTGTATTCTGATTTTTTCTGAATTATGCCAAATGAAATGAAGATAATAATAATTACATTCTTGGTTCTGAAGGTACAACTGGTGAACGCCCCGCCACGCCAATGACAAGAACACCACAGAGATCCCCGGGCCGCGCCCCCATTAGGATTATAATAAGTATATTTTAATATTAATTGACTTATTGTGCAATAAATACGTTAATGTTAGTGTTAGTAAAGATAAAGATAATAACAATTATATTTTTGTTCTGAAGCTCCGGTCAGTAAACCCTCGGGGCCGCGATCGCCCCCAACACGTGGCAGAATATTAAGTGCTGGCCATCTTGGTATGTTTTAATATTAATTTGAAAGTTATTATCTAATACGTTCATGTTACATAACGTGTGTAAAGTAAGTGTGAAGATAAAGATAATTATAATTGCCTTGTTGGTCTAGAGCAGTGATTCCCAAACTTCTTTTACTTACTATCGCGTGGCCTGGCCTGGCCGATTTTTTATTATACGACGCGTTAGCTAATGTATTGCGTAATCATTAACTGGCTTGCTAATCTGTGTTATCACTAATAATAAGAATGATGATAGATTCTCAATTTTGATTTAAGTCAGCATTAAATTATGATTCAGGGCCGACAGTGACAAAGTCGGCATCTAAAGAAATTGAAATATTTTTTTTTAAAATGGGATTTGTAGTATTGTTAACTAATGTATTACAAAATTGTATATATATCATATATGTTTCGATAATTTTGACTAAAATATTATCTTTATATATTTCAGTGTCAATGTTAATTGTTTATTAATATATATGATTAATATTCTTTTTTACTTTTGTGCTGTTAGCGCCCCCTACACCGGTGTATCGGCGCAGCGCCTCTAAGGGTTCTTCGCCCAGAAGAAGACCAGAAAGGCCCAGTGAAGTTATGCAACCCAAAAGGAGACGTCTAGGTATGTTATAATGATAAGTGAACGTTAATACGTAATAAGAACGTTGATGTTACAAAACAACTATAATATCAGTGGGAAAACCTCAAGGCAAATTGCTGGAACTTTCCGTACCATTTTTTTTTTTAAAAAAAGATTAACATTTTTGAAAATCATTTACTCTGAAAAAATTAGATTTTTGAGATACTATAAATTATAACATTTCAATAGTATTATATGTCACCTACGTTCTCTTAGCATCACCATCAATTTGGTACATTTCTATCTTTACCGAATTCCATTGTCTATTTCAAAGCCTTCACTGTAAAAGAAAATTGTATTTAATAACTTCATCATAATAATGATAAAAACGATATAAACTTTATTTTATTCAGAATGAAACATCCCATTTAATTGCTGAAGAGCTTTCCATTTATTTTGAGAGTCAACCAAGAATTGCAGCAGCAGCTTCGCAGCAGAGATAATGTGGCCTCCAAAACTCTGCCCTAGACAATGACACCTTCGAATTCATTTGTCCTCACTGAAATAAATGAATTATTTATTTCATTCAACATTTTCAAATTATTTTGTTAGAAATCAACATTTCAGTAAATGTCAATTTCAATAAATGAATTATTTATTCTCATTCAACATTTTCAAATTATTTTGTTGGAAATCAACATTTCAGTAATTAAATAAATTGAAGTTTTAAATAAAATTTATGTTTAAAATGAATGTAGAAATAAAAATTTTATGAATTAATTGTAATAACAATTATGGTATGTAAAATATTGCAATAAATATGAAAAATTACTTGTAATGTTTTTCCCTATAATTTGTTGCAAATTTTTATAATCAAGTATATAATTGTAACTATTTTATGATTACTAACCTGATTAAGCCCTTTGCAGAGCGCGATGATGTTGCAACTTTTTGTCTGAGCCCTTTTCATCTTTTAATCTTTACTGAATTCCATTGTTTACTTCAAAGCCTTCATTGAAAAAGAAAATTGTGTTTAATAACTTCATAATAATAAGAATGAAACGATGAAAATTTCATTTTATTTTGAATAAAATATTGAATTTATCTGTATCTACCTACAAGCACGAGAGCCTTCCATTTATTTTGATAGTCGACCAAGAATTGCTGCAGCAGCAGCAGCAGCAACCTATACCTCAGCTAATAATGTTTTTCCAATATTCTTTGTTTTGCATTGCCCTCATCCTCTGTAAAAAAAATTATTTATTACATTAATTATTCAAATTATATAAAAAATAACTGATAAAATGTCTAAATCATTTATATTACTTGATTACAATACTCGAGTAAATTAAATTTGTAATATAAATTTATCACTGATAAATTTTTTAAATATTATCAAGCAATTTAATTGTAACTTACCTATATTTGATTCCAAGTCTCTGATTAGGTGGTTGCCATTTACTAGTAATCCTAGGATTTGTCATCATGCATTCTCTAATTTGTCTGGATTTCTTCCAACAGTTCTCGCCTTGAAGTGTTCAGTTATGCCAATCCATCTGCACCAAAGGCAATTATTATTTGGTACGGGAAGTTCCAGCAATTTGCCTTAAGGCACGATGCCTTAATTGCCCTAAAAGACAAAATTACACTTACAGCTAGTTATACTTTCTTCTTATTTGTGTATTTGCTCACCAAAGGCTAGATAAATTAAATAGAATTTTATTTATGTGGTAGGAAGCAACAGAAATAGGAATTCTATTCTTTAAAAACAAATGAACCGATTTAAAGGCAAATGAACTTTTGGTTCACACTATATGAAAATATCATTTTTCTTCTCAAATAGCAATCTCCTATATATATATATATATATATATATATATATATATATATGTAGAGTTTCGAACAAGAATCCAAAAATAATAAAAAATAAAAAAACAAAAGTTTTTAATAAACAATTTCTTTATTTAATTATTTGTTTACTGTCGACGTTTCGGAACTAGGTACGTTCCATCTTCAGGACGACATCTGTCAAGAAACATGATCTTGATGAGATTTTAGCAAACAATATGTTTAGGAAAAGAAAATAGATTTTTCTTAAATAATAAATTAATTGCAAAAAATATATATATATATATAATAATGTACAGAAATATGATAATATGAACAAAATGAAAATGATAAAAATAAATGAGTGGATTATCAGAACAGGATATTAAAAGTCATATTGTCATATTGATAAATCATACAATACTGATGTATCTAGATCATACCCAACAGCTAAAGCGATATTAAGAGCACAAGCATAATGTCTTCCTCCTCATATCAGGCGTCATAGTAAAGTAATGATCTTTTGTTTTTTTATTAATTTGAAAAGGTTTTCAGCATAATATTCGGCATTGTGAGTGAATGGTTTTCGAGGTTATGTTCAAACATTTCAATTTGCCATTGAAATAGTGCATATGTTCATTAATTATTGCATTGAAAAGTATGCAAAAGTGATTAGGAAAGCCCTTAAACAATACCAAAACGATTAATATAGTGAATGTTGTGTTTTTGCGCCAAATTAGTCATTAGAATCCTTATGAGAATACTAGGGTCCGTTCCAGTCCGTTCGTATTCCAGTGCTTCACACTTTTTGCATCTATTTGGTGAATAACTGAATTAGTGATGAATATAAATAAATAAATGTGAATATAAAGTAATGTGAGTAATGATCTTTTGTTTTTTATTAATTTGAAAAGGTTTTCAGCATAATATTCGGCATTGTGAGTGAATGGTTTTCGAGGTTATGTTGAAACATTTCAATTTGCCATTGAAATAGTGAATATGTTCATTAATTATTCTCTATAGTCCTTTAAAAAGAATTTCCAATAAGTCGCCCAGCGTTCCAAGAATGTATCTTTGTATTTTTCAGGAAATTGTATGTTTGATATTCGGTTTTCTATTAGTGCATATTTGGTTTTGTATAATGTTGCCGATTTTGTAAAGAAACTAGTTACGTTTTTAAAGGAGTCATTAAATAACAAAAAATTACGATTGCCAGAACACCCATACACACTGAAGTTTGCTCCGGTGTTGACCATAACCTGTCAAAATTTCAGCAGTGTTGCTTTCTGCAAATGCACATGCATGCATGTTGCATGCCTTGTACAATCTGTTCTGTCACTTCTGTCACTTTTGTCTAATGTCTAAGCCGCCGTCTAACCTACAACAAGTATTCGTAAATGTAAAATTATTATTTCTGTGTTCAACAGATTCTGTATATAATTTCTTCGCGTGTTTCTTTTTATACCATAAAGTTTGGTTCTTCATCACGGATAATATTAATAAAATCAGTGCTAATATATATAAAAGGACGCCGATTTTTTCGCCGTGAAGAAAGTTGATAAAAAGTTTCAAAAATGGTTGAACCTTAAAACTATTCACGCTAAAAACAAGAATTGAATACGCTCAAGCTCAACAATAGAGCAGCAATACTTATTATTGGTGAATTGAGTGAATGCACGCAGATTTCATTTGAGAAGAAGTTAGGCGCACGAGGCTCCAGAGTTTGTCATCGCTGTTATTCGTGTTACTGGGGCTCATCTGAGAATTGGAGCACACCTGGCACAGAAGGCTATGTCGCACCTTATACAATAACAACACAAGACACTGTCATACAAGGGTTTGGAGCACCGGAGTGGCGTGAAAGCGGTATTTACGACAATTGTAACTTGTAAGGTAAGGTACGAATAGAATAAGTTAATTAATGTACATGTTATTTAGCATATGTCACGTTTAAATGCTCTTACGAATATTGGTACCCTATCACTGTCTAGGTCGGTAGATTCAAATCCAGCATTAGATGTAAAGTTACCAGAGATCACGTTACCCAAGTTCAACGGTGATTATAGTGAGTGGACCCAATTTATTAGATCTTTATAACTCGTTAATTCACAATAACACAAAGTTGCTGCAAGTCCAAAAGTTGCACTCTCTAAAGGGAGCTCTACTATCGTCTGCTGCAAAACTAATATCATCTTTAAGCTTAACAAATGAGATTTACACTGAGGACGGCCTATGAGCTACTGTGTAAGACTTATGACATTAAATTTTAAATACTGAATTCCCATTTGCAGCAGATCGACAACATACCACAGATACACAAAGGAACAGGCACAAAGTGCGAGGCAACAAATACGTGCTCTTTCAACTGAATATGAACCAACTAAACATTAGGATCTTATTCTGTTGTATATGCTAAACAAGAAGGTTGACAGCCATACTCGCATGGCATGGCATGGAATTTGTCCAGGAATGGAAAGTTCTTCTAACGGTAAATCAATTTTTTTCCTTTCTGGAGCTGCGGGTTTGTGCCTTAGAGAACTCATTCTAAAGAGAAATGAAGAGAAAGAGAAATTCTAAAATGGTTCATGTTAGTACAGTGAAAAGGGTAGTATCTCCGTGTTGTTGTTGTAAGGGAAGTCATCCATTGTACAAATGTTCCAAGTTTAAGGAGTTGGAGATTTCAGGGCGCAAGGATCTGGTGTTAAAGCATTCACTGTGCATTCGTTGTTTACTTCCTGGACATGATGCTAAGAGGCGTAGTTTTAAAGGTGCTTGCTATAGATGTAAAGAGCCCCACAACACTTTAATTCATGATGAAATAGTTCTTCGTCACCATCAACTAGCCAACTCAATTCTGGCAACAATATTCTTTTAGCTAGTCACAATAACATACAAACTTTTCTTTCCACAGTCTCTCGATATGAATGAATTTGATAGTTATATATCTATTATTAGTATTATACTATTTTGCAGATTTTACCTGAAGCCAAGTACATTGAATTGTTACTCATTTGTATTTAGAAGACTATTGGAATCCTGAGAAGCGTATCAGAAATTTGAAGTTAAGGTAATTATACTATTATTTTGTTGTATGGTTTCATTTGGTTGTAGTTAATAAAATCAAATAGATCTTAAAAATATTACACTTATTTCACAAATTTTGTAAATATGTATTATTTAAAGAAATTGGGATTGATTTGATTATTGTTTTACATTATATTTAGTACATTTATTCACTGAACAACCTGTGTCTCTTCAGCACATCAGGCTACTGGCAATTTATATGCATTTGGATTGAGTATTTGTGAATAAAAATTAATTTGATTTATTATAATATATTGATTTATAATAATAATTATTTCTTTCAGATGTTTGTCCAATTGGCGTCATGTTAATACTTTAAACCTCTTTGGAGTCTTGCAAACTTTACATTTTAGTACTGATATTTGTTCAAATTTCAATTGCTGTAGTGTTTATTAGAAAATAGTATTATTACAATGTCAAAGTTTTGTGTGTGAAGTGATTTTTGTGATACATTCCAAGGAGTTTTTATTATCGTAGTATGGATGCTGACTTCCAGCTAATCAAGAATGATTGTAAGCCGCTGTGGTAAGTGATATTTATTTAAATGGCATGCTCATATATAATACAATCACACCAAATTCGCGGAAATATGATTGATTTCAAGCAGTGAAGCCAATAACACATATTTATTTCAATTTAATCATGTTTACGCTATTGTCTTATAATGTTATTTATAGCTGATAACATTGGCATATTTCCATTACATGTAAATGATTCCTAATTTCTCTAAAAGTTTTCACACTTTTATTAAGCTAGTTTCATACAAATTAGTTTTCTTTTATGAATTTGTTAAGGAATTCGCGATTCAGCTTTTTATTTTGATACTTTCTTGCAAATTGGTTTCTTTTTATGAATTAGTTAAATGTTTTAAATATCTGTACGCCTTTTCTATTCATTCAGTATTTGTTTATTTTACAATGATATTACTGAGTAGTTATTAATTAAACAATAGACCCAATATTAGTATTTGCTTCGATTGAATTGTTTTCAAAATTATATTAGAACGCATTTGCATGCATGTTTTTCATAACATACGTTTAAAATTAGATTGAATGACTTTGATTACTACTTTGATCATTTAATTAACTTCCCGAAGGGTAGTTATAATAATGGGCCGAACATCGGAAATGAAAATTTTTGCATTTTTCGACGTTTTGGAGGTTTCTGAACATTTTAAGGCATACCTCAGAAAACTAATGAATGTGTGTGTGGGTGTGTGTGTGTGTTTCGTATGTCCGCTTTTTTCGTCCACGTTTTCGGGCGCACGGATCAACCGATTTGAATGGTTTAAAAAACATTCGATTTCTATTGATAGGGAGATGTGCTGATTAGTTTTTGGCAAAGGCAGGTCAAGCCGTTACGGAGATATGGAGCAAAGAGTGCGGAAAATAGAAATCGAGTTTTTGAGAGAACGGATCATCTAATTTGTATGATCCAAAAAACATTCAGTTCGTAACGACGGGGAAAAGTGGTTATTAGTTTTTGGCAAAGGTAGGCCCAGCGGTTTCGGAGATACAAAGCTAAATGTTAAAAAAATGACAGTTCAGTGAAATGAAATGACGAACGGTTGTTAATGTTGTGGAGATAAATTGATTTATGGTTCACATTTGATTTTGATTGCTCAGATATGACTAGATAGCAAAATTAATGAAAGTTACAGTATTTGTAATAATATATTTGAAAGCGTTTAAAATTTCTCGAATATTTCATTACGGTACGGGAAGTTCCAGCAATTTGCTTTAAGGCACGATGCCATACACCTCTAGTTTACTTTTGTCTGATAAAGATCTATAAATGCATTCGCAACAATTTGTTTTACAAAACTTCACTTTAAATGCAGAATAATTGGAGTGTTACATAATTCCATATCTGTAGATAATAATCTGTCCGAATTTATAGATTCATACATATTCAATTCAACATTTACAGTCCGTTTGCAATACATCGCACTTTATGCAATGTTTATTCTTTATTAAATGCACGTTAATTATTTGTGTATATTTGTAGTAATTATTGAATTAAATATATGAATGTATATATGATTAATTGATGGAACTTATCATTTGCGAGCAATCAAATCGTTAATTAAAATGTTTCATGTTTCGACGATGATGATTCATGACGAACAAATTTAATTTTGCCTTAAAAATTATCTTATTTATCAATTTTTATATGAAAGTAGTTGAATTTTTAGTATTGTTATAAAAATTACTTTATTGAACAATTTTACGAAACATCTGATCATGCTAAAATACATATTATTAGCAGTGATGTGATTCGATTGATAAATTTGAAAATAAAATCAGTTTTTATGAAATTTACTTTATAAAATGGCTACTATTTTCAATTATTTGACAGTCGATTTACTTTTGCTATTAAAAAACGTGCAGGTAATTTAATTTTAAAAATATTTTATCAAATTAATTTTTATATTCCGACCTAAACAATATGACTTAATAATGAAAATTTCATAATTTAACAATTTCTTTATATCATACTTGACAATTTATTCGTCAATTATTTTATCAGCGAATAAAATAGTTAATTACAAATTATAGCCATAAAAATAATCAATTCCTCGAATATATATTATTATCTACCTGAAATAATTTAAATAATTTTTGTTTTCATTAAGATTTTGCAATATTCATAATTTTAATGTTATTTAATGGATTTCAATGATTCTGCATTTTTAATCAGTTCCAACATAGTTTTTAATTACTTGCAATTTATTACCGTAGTCCGAGAAAAACCTCGGGCAATTAAAATGTTTTAACAATAAATATTTTGTGATTTAACATATATTTTCTCATCATATATTTGATCATTGATATCTAGATTATTATTTTCCAATCCGTTTCAATACTTTTTAGACGATTTTTATAACGAAGATGAAACCATTTGTCGTCTAGCTTATTAGGAAACAATAGCATGAACCATGTATATATTTTGTTTTGAACTAAAAATAAAATGTTAACTTCAATAAGCTATTTAGTAAATGAAATCTTTTCTTACCGAAGTAGGTATTTCGTATTCCGCCTCTAAGAGTTGATCGCAAACTAAACTTCCCTGGCAAATGGTTCAGAATCTGAACAAAAGTTTTTTTTATGGTACTCTGATCTATTAATAATGATTTTAAAATTTGTTTATTCTGAATTTCTAATGTCTTTTTTATCTAAACAAATTTTAGAGCTTTTATTTAATAGATCAGTATCATTGAAAACTTCTATTGTAGCAACATACTGAAATTTGAAACATGTTAATTCATCGGAAGAATCGCGTTTTAATTTGTTTAATAATAATGTCGATTACTCGATAAAATATATTCACTTTGAACAAACTTTCAATATCCTGAATATGAATTTGCAAATCTTGTCAAAGTAGCGTATTACCTTCCTCTGACGAGTTTTAAAAAATTCATGATTGATAAATCATTTTCCTACTAACTACACTATTTGCGTCTAATTTGAAATTTCCAAATTTATGCCAATACCTTTCTAATTCTTAACAATTTTTTTTTTAAACTATAGATGTGGCGTCGATAGTAGTAGAATATTACTATTTGTTAGGTTTGATTGATTTTTCGAAGGACCAATGATTTGTTGTAAAACACTTTATTTGTAATATTAATTACGTGTTTATTAACTTCCCGAAGGAGAAGTTTATGTTTTCATCAAAAGATCCGATTTGCTAATTTTATGTTTTCTCGACGTTTCAAGCCATTCTGAATCGAATGAGACTAACATTTGGAAAAAGTATATGTGTGTGTGTGTGCGCGCGTGTGTGTGAACAATTTTTTTGCCGTAAATCAACGTTTTCTCAAAAACGGCTGGACCGATTTCCAAAATTTAAAAGCCATTCGATGTATCTCGATGACGACTTAGGGTTTATGAGTTTTGTGCGACGATCGGCCAGGCCGCTTCTTTGTAAATCGCAGACAAGTGAAAACTTTTTCGTCCACGTTTAGCCAGCAATTCTGAATCGATTTTGAAAATTCAAAAACCGTTCGTAGGTATTGGTTGGGAATCGTGCTGATTAGTTTTTGGTATAGATCGGCCGGGTCGTTTTCTTGTAATAAAGTTTGAAAAAAAAAATTCGACGATTTTTATAATTTTTTTTTTGCGGTACATACCATCGTCTTCTAGATCATACTAAAATATTACGGCCCTACGACACTATCGGTTTAACTTTAAAAATTCGTCAAAGTTTGCAAAAATTGGTATCGTTTTTTTGGCATTTAATCGACGTTTGCTTAAAAACGCCTGAACCGATTTTAGAAATTTAAGTCATTCGATGTATCTCAATGAGCACTATAGTTGGTCAGTTTTGTGAGACGATCTGCCAAACCGTTTCTTTGTAATTTGAAAAAAAGTGTTAAACTTTTCGTCCACATTTAAGCTCATTCTACCGAATCGATTAAAGAAAAAAACTGTTCGAAAGATATTAGTTGGGAATGATACTGATTAGTTTTTGGTGAAAATCTACCGAGCCGTTTCCTTGTAATTAACCGTTGAAAAAAATATTACGCCGATTTTTATGGAACTTTTTTGGGCGATATATACTATGGTCTTATGGATCTTACTGAATTATTATGGCCTTACTAGTAGTTGAATTTTAAAAATTCATCAAAGTTTGAGAAAATGAGTAGTTTTTTTGACGTTCGTTAAAATTAAAATTAGACGATTTACTTGGTATAACGCTAGAGTACTTGATCTCAATGTACATCTAAACCATTAAGTCCTACCGAAACTGGTTCAATTATAAAAGTTATTAATTTTTGAAAATTTGCTTTTAGAAAATACTCGAGTTAACGTGTTTGTTCGTTTTCAATTATGTGTAATAAATCTACTCGGAATACGTTTAATCGCTCATAAATTAATTTATATAGTCGATTATTTACACATATCAGAAAGTTCATGTAACTTGCCTCAAGGCAAAATACCAATACCAACTAGTTTTTATTACAACTACAAATTATATTTGTATTTACAATGTTTTCAAAGTTTAATTTTTGTATTGATTGATTTTATTTTATAATAATTTTTTATTTAGATATTTGATTTCTTTCTATATCAATATATCGGATGCTGTGATTTTGGTGTGAACAATTACAATGGAAAACCAATAATAAAATAATTGTAGTTTGCAAACTTCTTTTTATGCGAAATAGGTACATTTTGGATTTCAACAAAACGGAGTTTTAAAGCAAGAATGGCATCAGAGAATGTCCTGCACATTCCGTCTTTTTATATTATGTCCAAAATAATTAAAAATTCATAAACGATTCAAAGTGATTAGTTAAAGAATATATCAGTATCATAAAGAATCAGTCAGTCTGTTTTTATCCTTCTGCATGAACTGTTGTGTTATTATTTACATAAACTTTTATCATAAATTCTACAGAAAAAGAGTTCCTTTATATGTCGATTGAAATATAAAAATAATTATAATATGATTTTACGTTGCAGTTTGCCGACAGACAGAAGCTCAAACAACATGATAATGGCGCAGGTTCTTTCGGAAGCCGATCGGCCATTATGCAATGCTGCGTACAGAGAAGGACAACTATGTCATGTGCGAGTGCGCTCGAGTACTATTTCGCACTCTATTCCACGCATAGGATTAATGCGCAGGACAAGGACAAAGATATGTCGCAGGGGCAGGCCACGCCCATCACCGCCCATCACCTATCACCTAGTTGCTCTCCCCACCACTCGAATCGGCCTGCCATTGCTAAAGGATATCATTTCGTTTTCGACTGCGGCCGTGTACGGTGTACGGTTTACGGCTAGAAGGGTCTCGGCGAAATGGACGTAGCCGACCGGCTTGTTGCGTGAGTTCAACATTGTTACGAATTGAATTCAGTTTAATAGTGCGATAATTTTATACCTATTAATTTCAAGTGTTTGTAATTGTGCCCTTATCAAGTCTAATTTACATGAGAAATTTGAACTGATGCAGCACCGTTTACAGGAGAAAAGGTCAGTGATACATATTTCTTATATTAATTTCAAGGTTTTCGTGTTGATTTTGTGGGTACCGATACCGAATTTCCGTAATACGAGAACTTGTAGTTTTATTTTCAGTTTTGATCATTTTGGCTTTTCATTATACAAAATGAATTAATTGCGTGGACGCAATTACTGCGGCTTCCGAGTACATTTTGATTTATATATCGCTAGAATTTTCTGAAATGTTTGAAATCATCCATCCATTTACACGTTCAAATATTAGTTTAAAGTAGACTGCGTTGCTTAATAGATTTGCAAGAAAAATGGGGCGGCAATGGGTCAGTGGTTAGGATTTTTTCAATATGCCAAAAATCACGATTTCTTATTAACACAGCTCTTAGATTCTTAAAATTATTTTGCTATTGGTACATATTTGAACCACCAGTTTAGTTTTTTATAAATTTGTACATCGTTTTAACATAACATTAACCCTCCGTCGGTCGGAGTGGTCTGGCCGGACTTTTTTCGACTTCAATTAAAAAAAAAGAATATTTCTAGTAATCCTATCGACTTGAAATTTCTTGACTTTTCCTAAAATTTCATTAGCTGTCGATCAATAAAAAAATCAGGAAAAAATGTACAGAAGGATAATTATAAGGATATTAACTTTCTTATACTTTGAACGGTCGGAGTGGTCTGTCCAGACCACCCATACATTTTGTATGAAATACACGCTTTTTGATATATGTGAACCAGTATGTTGTCTTTTTTCTGGTATTTTCTATTCAAACTGCATTTTATATATTCTTTGCTATGTGTTGTAACATGGTGCATGAATGTTAGTATTTTCACGACGAGAGTTCCTTGAAAACCTACCAAACTTATTGGTTATCGCAAACATTGAAAAGCGGATGAGTAATGCGCACATTATCAACGGTTTGTTCTCCCCGTACTGCGTTCGAAAATTTTTTTGGCAAGCCCGTAGCCGGTAGTATGCAGTTCAATTGAAATTATATTTTCACTTTGAGTTTCACAGCTCATTTCAAAGGCGACGCAACCCATTTCGTGTTCAAGTGCCAAAATTGTTAAAAAAAAAAAATCCAAACTATTTTTTCCAAAAATTTCAAAAAATTTTGAAGCTTTACATAAATTTAAATTATGGTAATTTAAGTTCCAGCAATCAGCAGCAAGGCATGATGCACCACTTGTTTAACCCTCCGTCGGTCGGATATTTATTTATATGAGATAAATGAGTTTTTTGTGTCTTTATATATTTACGATTATTATTAATAAATATTTATAGTTTAATTTTTTTCTTTTTCTTACCGTCTTTTGCATGTGTTGAGCTTGCTTATAATAAAAATATTATATATTATATTATATTATATAAAAAAATCGTTGCATTTTTTGTTAATTTTTCTGTTTTATATCAATGAAAAACTATATTTATTCTTTTTCGGCGCCTTTGAAAACATTTGAAAATGAGAACTGTTTTGATAATTTTGATATATTTTTGTTGAAAACTTTGAATTTTTTTTTCGAAGCAATCGCGATGGGCGAGATAGAATATCGGAGCGAGTATGCGCCGCGTCGGAGTTTTACGGTTAAACTGTATAAATTTGGATACGGAATCCATAACAATGTGAACAATGTTTGTACTTATCATTCAAATCTGTATAAAATATCTGATATTTGATGTACATAATAGATGTATTAATCAGTTTTGGAATACAAATGATTTATTGATTTTTATTGGATCTCGGACCACTGGACCTGTCAATATGCTAACAAACATTCATTTATCTTTAATTTTTGCTCATGAAAATCAAATTTAATTTCACTTGAAATTTTTAATTCATTGATTCTTGAAAAATTGAAAAGTGAGTTCCTAGACAATATACTGAGTGAGTTTGCCATTCAATTTGTTAGCTACAAGTTATAATTGTAAAGTATATTTAGGTACATTGATTTTATTATATTTCTAGCTGACAACATTCACTATTCTAACCTACAATATTTAAAGTAATATATTTTTATATGTGAATGGCAAACATTATCTCGTAAAAACTTTATAAGTTAAAAATTCAATGTTGTTGAGTTTTCTTAATTTGTTTGAAATATTTACATTGAAAATTATTTTAGGTTTATATTAATTTGACAGTTTTCAATTTTTAGATTGAAGGAAATTGCATTGCAATCCACTGATATTTTTAAATAGATGACATTTACTCATTACATGTCTTACAGTTGATTTTTCTGCTAATACACACTAGAAGCAACATCATGATTTGAACAAATCGTCGTTTGCATTATGAATAATACATAAAAACTGTTTGGGAAATCTTTGAGATCGACATTGAAATGCTTGTTGTGGCAAATGATTCATAACAAAAATTCATTTAACTTGGAAATTCACAAGTGCCGGCGCTACCGCGCTTAACGATGTGGCATTATGGACTTGCCGACATACATATTGTGGAATAGATGCTCTGCAATTCCTACAGTGAATGAAACAATATCGACTTGCCGATATACATATTGTGGAACATGTGCATTCTTGAAAGAAATAACAAGGGTGATGCTCTAAAAATCGTACATTGAATCAAACAATGTGGACTTGTCGACATGCATATTGGGTAATATGTGCATTCCTGAAGAAAATAACGTGACAAGCAATCGTGGGCCCTAACTGAAGAGAACCATTTCAAAGAATGGAACCAATGTATTCTTACCGTAGGATTTCAAAGAGGCTGCTGCTTTTATTAAATTAGGTATGTTTAGCTCGAATATTTAAAATAATTCATGTACTCTACTCTTTAAATAACAATAGTTTAATGAATTTATTTTATTTCAGAAATAATCCTCACTCGAACAATACAATATACCTTTGGTGCATTTGGTGCAAATGGATTGGCTTGAATAACTAAACACGTCAAGACGAGAACTGTTGGAAGAAAACCAGGCAAATCAGAGGATGCATGATTTCAAATCCTAGAATTACTAGTAAATGGCTACCTAATCAAAGACTTTGAATCAAATATAGGTAAGTTATTGTTAAACTGCTTGATAATATTTAAAAATTTCATCAGTGATGAATTTATATTACAAATTTAATTTACTCGAGTATTGCAGTCAAATAATATAAATGATTTAAAAAAATTGTCGGTAATTTTTTATATAAATTTGAATAATTAATGTAATAATTTTTTTTTACAGAGAATACCGGCAATGCAAAACAAAGAATATTAGAAAAACATCATTAGCTATGAAATATGCTGCAGCTGGCTGCAACTGCAATTCTTGGTCAACTCTCAAAATAAATGGAAGGCTCTCGTGCTTCTTGATAGGTACAACAATTAAATTCAATATTTTATTCAAAATAAAACAGTATATATTTTTTTTATTATTATTATTATGAAGTTCTTAAATTCAATTTTCTTTTACAGTGAAGGTTTCGAAATAGACAATGGATGGAAGAGAAAAACCACACATGAGTAGTACTACATATATGATACAAAATTTAATGCAATTTATTTTATATTCCAGTTGAAAGTGATGACAATACAGCCATGGACTTCACTGTTACGGTTTAATAGCACAATTGCGATGATGCAAATTCCTTGCAGTGAGTAATGCCTTCCAGATATACAGTTCATCCTGCGCCTCTTTTTTAACCATTGGAAAAGGTATTTCATGGAATATAATATTTCAAATGTACTATTAAATAAGTTTGGTTGTCTGTTAAGAAGTTTTGAGCAAGCACTGTTTATTTTTCAATTTAAATAAATGCCTATTATTATTCAATCAATGAAGATTATCACAGATAAAATTTGATAAACTATTGATTCGAATAATTAAAAGTAGTAATATGTATTTGAATGTAGATAATCCCTGTGAATTACTGGTTTAAATAATTGCTAAAAGTTGTATTAATTTGACTGTAGATGACACTGTGAATTACCGGTTTGAATAAATGTTAAAAGTAGTGAAATCTATTGGTACATAGGTGGCGCTTGGATATTATTGGTTCGAATAAATGCTAAAAGTTGTAATTTTTAAATGTAGATGACGCCTCTAGAATTGCTGGTTCGAATAATTGCTAAAAGTTGTAATTATTTGAGTATAGATAACGCGTGCGATTTACTGGTTTGAATAATTGCTAAAAGTTGTAATTACCTGAAACTAGATGGCGTCTGTAAATTACCGGTTCGAATAATTGTTAAAAATTTGTAATTATTTGAATGTAGATGGCGCTTGTGATTTACAGGTTCGAATAATTGCTAAAAGTTACAATTGTGAAGCTGTCTACTAAATTCCTGGAGCCATCTGTGAACGGATATGTCTTATTGATGCTGAAAGCAAGGCCCCCTAGATTTCTAGAAGGCCTTGCCACAAATATATATATTAGTGGGTTCCCGATCAAGGCAAGTTTTACTATAGAAATATTTTGATCAATAATTGTGTTTTTATTTTTTTTTTGCCCTGACCGGGACTTGAACCCGACACAGGTTTCTTTTGTCGAATTCAAGAGCTGAGCTGCTACCCACTGAGCTAATCTCAACCGAAACAAAATATATAATATATTAGTAGGTGAACCTGGTCTGGGACCCTCGTTGCGGAAGTGTTTTACGCTGGAAAGTGATGGTGTCTATGGGTGATATATATATATATATATATATATATATATATATATATATATATATATATATATATATATATATATATATATATATATATACATATAGCATACATATAGCATACATTATACCTGCTACATATTACACTGCTGCTTTATATGACATCTGGCACTAATATATATGAGCTTTCTTGCAATACTTTGGTATATTTTGCCTATCATTGCCTATACTTTATATGTTATTCACGCCTTTAAGTATTGCGTTTTTAAATAATATGTATGCAACTATACTTTCTTTAGCTTGCATTAATAGTTATAATTGTAATATGCAACAAACAATTCTTCTACTTATCTTTGGCATTTCGTACTTAAATCCCGTAGCACATCTACGACAATTTGCAATACATTATGCATTGCTTCGTAAACCCTCCGGCACATTTACGAAATTTTCAATCGTTTTGATAATATTTTTTACTAAGTGCCCAGTCGAGTAAATTTTTTTTAGTATAATATTTTTTACTAAGTGCCCAGTCGAGTAAATTTTTTTTAGTATAATATTTTTTACTAAGTGCCCAGTCGAGTAAATTTTTTTTAGTATAATATTTTTTACTAAGTGCCCAGTCGAGTAAATTTTTTTTAGTATAATATTTTTTACTAAGTGCCCAGTCGAGTAAATTTTTTTTAGTATAATATTTTTTACTAAGTGCCCAGTGCCCAGTCGAGTAAATTTTTTTTAGTATAATATTTTTTACTAAGTGCCCAGTCGAGTAAATTTTTTTTAGTATAATATTTTTTACTAAGTGCCCAGTCGAGTAAATTTTTTTTAGTATAATATTTTTTACTAAGTGCCCAGTCGAGTAAATTTTTTTTAGTATAATATTTTTTACTAAGTGCCCAGTCGAGTAAATTTTTTTTAGTATAATATTTTTTACTAAGTGCCCAGTCGAGTAAATTTTTTTTAGTATAATATTTTTTACTAAGTGCCCAGTCGAGTAAATTTTTTTTAGTATAATATTTTTTACTAAGTGCCCAGTCGAGTAAATTTTTTTTAGTATAATATTTTTTACTAAGTGCCCAGTCGAGTAAATTTTTTTTAGTATAATATTTTTTACTAAGTGCCCAGTCGAGTAAATTTTTTTTAGTATAATATTTTTTACTAAGTGCCCAGTCGAGTAAATTTTTTTTAGTATAATATTTTTTACTAAGTGCCCAGTCGAGTAAATTTTTTTTAGTATAATATTTTTTACTAAGTGCCCAGTCGAGTAAATTTTTTTTAGTATAATATTTTTTACTAAGTGCCCAGTCGAGTAAATTTTTTTTAGTATAATATTTTTTACTAAGTGCCCAGTCGAGTAAATTTTTTTTAGTATAATATTTTTTACTAAGTGCCCAGTCGAGTAAATTTTTTTTAGTATAATATTTTTTACTAAGTGCCCAGTCGAGTAAATTTTTTTTAGTATAATATTTTTTACTAAGTGCCCAGTCGAGTAAATTTTTTTTAGTATAATATTTTTTACTAAGTGCCCAGTCGAGTAAATTTTTTTTAGTATAATATTTTTTACTAAGTGCCCAGTCGAGTAAATTTTTTTTAGTATAATATTTTTTACTAAGTGCCCAGTCGAGTAAATTTTTTTTAGTATAATATTTTTTACTAAGTGCCCAGTCGAGTAAATTTTTTTTAGTATAATATTTTTTACTAAGTGCCCAGTCGAGTAAATTTTTTTTAGTATAATATTTTTTACTAAGTGCCCAGTCGAGTAAATTTTTTTTAGTATAATATTTTTTACTAAGTGCCCAGTCGAGTAAATTTTTTTTAGTATAATATTTTTTACTAAGTGCCCAGTCGAGTAAATTTTTTTTAGTATAATATTTTTTACTAAGTGCCCAGTCGAGTAAATTTTTTTTAGTATAATATTTTTTACTAAGTGCCCAGTCGAGTAAATTTTTTTTAGTATAATATTTTTTACTAAGTGCCCAGTCGAGTAAATTTTTTTTAGTATAATATTTTTTACTAAGTGCCCAGTCGAGTAAATTTTTTTTAGTATAATATTTTTTACTAAGTGCCCAGTCGAGTAAATTTTTTTTAGTATAATATTTTTTACTAAGTGCCCAGTCGAGTAAATTTTTTTTAGTATAATATTTTTTACTAAGTGCCCAGTCGAGTAAATTTTTTTTAGTATAATATTTTTTACTAAGTGCCCAGTCGAGTAAATTTTTTTTAGTATAATATTTTTTACTAAGTGCCCAGTCGAGTAAATTTTTTTTAGTATAATATTTTTTACTAAGTGCCCAGTCGAGTAAATTTTTTTTAGTATAATATTTTTTACTAAGTGCCCAGTCGAGTAAATTTTTTTTAGTATAATATTTTTTACTAAGTGCCCAGTCGAGTAAATTTTTTTTAGTATAATATTTTTTACTAAGTGCCCAGTCGAGTAAATTTTTTTTAGTATAATATTTTTTACTAAGTGCCCAGTCGAGTAAATTTTTTTTAGTATAATATTTTTTACTAAGTGCCCAGTCGAGTAAATTTTTTTTAGTATAATATTTTTTACTAAGTGCCCAGTCGAGTAAATTTTTTTTAGTATAATATTTTTTACTAAGTGCCCAGTCGAGTAAATTTTTTTTAGTATAATATTTTTTACTAAGTGCCCAGTCGAGTAAATTTTTTTTAGTATAATATTTTTTACTAAGTGCCCAGTCGAGTAAATTTTTTTTAGTATAATATTTTTTACTAAGTGCCCAGTCGAGTAAATTTTTTTTAGTATAATATTTTTTACTAAGTGCCCAGTCGAGTAAATTTTTTTTAGTATAATATTTTTTACTAAGTGCCCAGTCGAGTAAATTTTTTTTAGTATAATATTTTTTACTAAGTGCCCAGTCGAGTAAATTTTTTTTAGTATAATATTTTTTACTAAGTGCCCAGTCGAGTAAATTTTTTTTAGTATAATATTTTTTACTAAGTGCCCAGTCGAGTAAATTTTTTTTAGTATAATATTTTTTACTAAGTGCCCAGTCGAGTAAATTTTTTTTAGTATAATATTTTTTACTAAGTGCCCAGTCGAGTAAATTTTTTTTAGTATAATATTTTTTACTAAGTGCCCAGTCGAGTAAATTTTTTTTAGTATAATATTTTTTACTAAGTGCCCAGTCGAGTAAATTTTTTTTAGTATAATATTTTTTACTAAGTGCCCAGTCGAGTAAATTTTTTTTAGTATAATATTTTTTACTAAGTGCCCAGTCGAGTAAATTTTTTTTAGTATAATATTTTTTACTAAGTGCCCAGTCGAGTAAATTTTTTTTAGTATAATATTTTTTACTAAGTGCCCAGTCGAGTAAATTTTTTTTAGTATAATATTTTTTACTAAGTGCCCAGTCGAGTAAATTTTTTTTAGTATAATATTTTTTACTAAGTGCCCAGTCGAGTAAATTTTTTTTAGTATAATATTTTTTACTAAGTGCCCAGTCGAGTAAATTTTTTTTAGTATAATATTTTTTACTAAGTGCCCAGTCGAGTAAATTTTTTTTAGTATAATATTTTTTACTAAGTGCCCAGTCGAGTAAATTTTTTTAGTATAATATTTTTTACTAAGTGCCCAGTCGAGTAAATTTTTTTTAGTATAATATTTTTTACTAAGTGCCCAGTCGAGTAAATTTTTTTTAGTATAATATTTTTTACTAAGTGCCCAGTCGAGTAAATTTTTTTTAGTATAATATTTTTTACTAAGTGCCCAGTCGAGTAAATTTTTTTTAGTATAATATTTTTTACTAAGTGCCCAGTCGAGTAAATTTTTTTTAGTATAATATTTTTTACTAAGTGCCCAGTCGAGTAAATTTTTTTTAGTATAATATTTTTTACTAAGTGCCCAGTCGAGTAAATTTTTTTAGTATAATATTTTTTACTAAGTGCCCAGTCGAGTAAATTTTTTTTAGTATAATATTTTTTACTAAGTGCCCAGTCGAGTAAATTTTTTTTAGTATAATATTTTTTACTAAGTGCCCAGTCGAGTAAATTTTTTTTAGTATAATATTTTTTACTAAGTGCCCAGTCGAGTAAATTTTTTTAGTATAATATTTTTTACTAAGTGCCCAGTCGAGTAAATTTTTTTTAGTATAATATTTTTTACTAAGTGCCCAGTCGAGTAAATTTTTTTTAGTATAATATTTTTTACTAAGTGCCCAGTCGAGTAAATTTTTTTTAGTATAATATTTTTTACTAAGTGCCCAGTCGAGTAAATTTTTTTTAGTATAATATTTTTTACTAAGTGCCCAGTCGAGTAAATTTTTTT